AAAATGGTCCAGGCTGTGTTGCCCTGCTCTGAGCAGGTCCTGTCCCTTTCGCAGTGTTGCACAAAGTGAGGGCATGTTCTCCTGCAGCTCCTTCATCTCCACTCTGCAGCTTTTGCAAGCTATGGCTCAAGAAGAAGGCGCATGGCTATAAAATAAATAAAAACATACAGGCTAGGTAGTCTAAATCTATACAGAGAAAAGTCAAGAGTCCCATAAAGAAGCGACAGTCTAGTAAAGGACACGCCCAGATTAGGCTATCAAACTGACTACTCAGTTTATTGTCTAAAACTTTGCTCTCAGGCTAATGAGGATGCTGGTTTTCCCCAAGCAGCTATTTGCTTTACTTGGGCGCAACTAAAAGGCCCTCAGTGGAAAAAGGTCTGATCTATCACAGTCATGCTCAGATGGTGGTCTCCTGACTGACAGTGTCAGCACCACCTGGGAACTAGTTAGAAATGCAAATTCTCAGGCCCCACCACAAACCTACCCAATCAGAAACTCCTCTGGGGGAGTATTGAAACTCCGTTTCAATAGTCCTGCGGGTGATCCCCGTGCTGTTTGGTGTGAGAACCCCTGGTCTGTCAGGTTCTAAAGTACGCCACTTCTTTGAAGGCCAAAAACTGCTGGTAACTTTCAAAGGAGGATTTTTCCTCTCTCAGCCCGTCATGGAATCTAAATTTGTTGAGCACCAAGCTCAGCCAGGGTCACGCTACTACAGTGAGTTGTTAAATAACTAAGTTTGTTGACATTCATTCAAAAGCTTGAAAAACATTTAAAAACAGCAGCAAAGGAGACAATATGAAAATTTGATTTGGTTTACACAAGTAATAATAATGATACTGATTTATATGACCTGCTTACCATTTTCAAATGCCGAAATGCCATACTGCTTAAAAATTACATATAAATATCATTTTAAAACATGTATTAGATAAGCTTTGTTCTTCATTTTACTTTGTTGCATTTAACACGGCTGTCACTTCACAGCTTTAAAAAATTAGAACATTGTGATCCTATCACCTTCCCCCAACCATGGAAAGATAACTCTGAAAGCGATAATCACAGCGAGCTGTTTCTACCTTACCTGCTTTCACCTACACACAACTTACCACAGTAGAACAATTGATGTTTAACTCCAGAGCAGCCTCTCCGGGAACAGTCCAGTTGCACATCCCTTTGCTATTGCATATGCTTTAGGTTGTAGTAGAGAAAAAAAGTGCTCCAAGTGATACCAGGGAGCAGCAAAAGCTGTGCAGCACACAGTGTATGAACCGTTGATAAGCCGAGACCATCACCACAGCTTGGTGTGGGGGACACTGAGTTTTACCAGGTAACAGAAGTTTGAGAGCTGTCCCTCAGCAGTCTGTGGACATCAGGATTTGTGTGACCAGAATACAGAGGGAGAAGAAAAATTTTAAACACAAAACATAGTCTTTACGAAAGAATTCAACAATCTACTATAATTATATGTGATATTAATTTTAGTAAACTATAATGAAAAGTAATTAGGAAATACCGAGAAGCATTAAATGCCAAGTTGAGCAAATGACAAAATTACATCAAATTCTTTTGCAACAATTTACATCTGTTTATCTACACCTACAGCAAAGTCGCTTATGCCAATCAGCCCCCAGCTCCCTATCACTCTGCCTGGGTTTCACTCTTCACAAACCTCTGATAGGATCCTTCACTCTGGCTCATTTTGCCGTTCAACTTGGTTAACATTAACTGAGACTAAAGACATTCCATTCAGTTACAGTCAGCTTACAACCAGGACTGCTGTCTGCTCTCCATTTGAAGTTATTAAATTTCCTCCCAATCAATCCATTTCAACCTCTTTCTCAATGTCTCTTTCTCTCTGCTCCCAGACCTCTTATCTTTCATTTTTCCTCATTCCTTTATCTCAGAGATTCTCTATAGTTCCTCAGGAAAAGGAGAAGGGGGTTTGACACAAGACGTATATGAACAAATTCTAGAATACTGTAGGGTTCTGGGGCAACTCAAGGGTCCAGCTTGCAGGCCCCCTCTTTGTGTCTCTGGTGGGCCAGGTGGTCCCCTTCTCGCTCGTCATCCTTTTGTCTCTGCTGCTGAGCCTCGTGCTTTGCTGAGCTCTCACACGTGTGCAATCACAATGCCCAGCCTCGCTAACTGGGGATATAAAACATGGTCTTGCTTCCTTTGTTACGCAAATTACGACTTGGCACCAACCTCCCCACATCTGAACCTGTGCCCTTTGGTGGGCCTCCAGTTACATAGATAATTCCCCAAGATGCAGCCTTAAGGATATCCTGAAAAAGATCTCTCGTATCCTTCTACTCTACCCGCCAGTCTGTCCTTCCTCTGAGCTCCACCCTCCACGCCAATGGAAAACACCCTTCCCCATAGCCAAGCTGAGGCTGGGCTGCAGTTACTGACAGGATACTACTGAAGATTCAGGGACAACGGAGAGAAACTGCCTCATTGAAAATAGCTAGTAATGGTGCTGTGGATGGCTTTTCTCAGAGCTGAGGCCCAGACCCGGTCTCAGGTTCAGGGCCACCTCCCCACCCCTCCACCTCTCCCCACCTCCATACCATTGAAAATCCCTCAGATTTGTCTATGCTTTTCAGGACTCCAGGTCCTAACAGTCGTTAGACCTAGAAGGAGAAAGAACTCCCTGAAATCCCCAGTCTAAGTTCCCGTTTCTTGTTTGAGAATTGCCCTTTTCCCGAGGTGGTTGAGAGTTGAGAGTAGGATTGTCCATCCCCTCCCGGTAAATCTCACCCCAGCCCCTTGGTGCCCAGTGGCCCCCAGTGAGCACTGCAGCAGAACATCGGCACAGGTGGGCATTTAGCCTTAAATTAACAAGTGAAGGACTCCAGCAGGCCAGGCCCGGCGGAGTTCCTCTCTCCTCCTCTAACCTGCTCCATCGCCACGCCGAAGAGCTTTGCAGCATGTGTGTTCTAAATCCACACAGAGCCAGAGAGTATTTCTCCCAGATTCCCCGCAACCAACAGGGTTTCAGAGACCTATGCTAGGCTTAACTGTGTACTGCTATTCATATTAGTAAACAGAAGGCCTAGCTCCCAGACTCAGAGAAATCTGCACTGTTTCACGGAAAAATCAGTTTTCTCCAAGAACTGTGGCTACATACAAGCTTTGCATTTTGTTAACTAAAGGGCCTCATCAAATCGTTTTCTCAGAACAAAGGAAAGCCTTGCCTGAAAGGTGAATTCAAATACCTTACTCTTTTAAGGCAGAACCATGTGAAATTTTATTTATATATTTTTTGCCAGAAAATTATTATGGATAAAACAGAACATAGACCTACACTCTGACCATTTTTCTAATTTGTAAGTTTCTCTAATTTCTGTTGGCTTTGAAAACAACTGCTTAACAACTTCTTGTGCATCCTTCCAAAAAGGATGCACACACCAACGTATATGTATGTATGTACCCTTTTTTCCCCCCAAATAGTATATCATACACATGTTCTGAACTTTCCTTCCTTCTTTCTTTGTTTTCTTTCTCCTCCTGCTCCATTTTTGTTTAATTTAATAATTGAAAATTTTTATAATCAGCAACAGATTTTTTTTTTAAGGTCTGTGGTAGTCCATTGTATGGCTTTATCAAAGTTTATGTAACTAGTTCCCTTTTAATGTTTCGTGGGCATTTAGGTTGTTTCCAGGATTTTTTAGGTGGAGAGGAAGGAAGGATTAGGGTTATTACACATAAAGCTGCAATAAGCATACTTATATGTATAAAATGGTATAGTTTTGTGACCATGTTCATAAGGTAAATCCCTAGCAGTGGAATTTCTGGGTCAAAAGTCAAGGAGGTTTTAAATTTTGAAAGATATTTATCGTAACAATTTAAATTCCCAAGGATATCTGTGTTCTCATACCCTTGCCAACCCTGGGTATTATTCCACTTGTTAAGTTTTGCCAGTCTGATAGGCAGAGCATGCTATCTTATCATTGTTTCCATTTAGATTTCTTTAAATATAAGTGACATGAAATATCTTTTCATTGGTCTGTTGGCCACTTGTATTTCTTTTCTGTTAGCTATGTGTTCACATCTTTTGCTCATTTTCCTGTTGAATTGTTAATCTTTTTTTACTGAGTTGTAAGATTTCGTAAATCAAAACATGTAGTCCTTATTATTATTATTAGTATGTGTTGCAAATATTTCTTCCAGCATGTCATTTATATTTTGACTTTGTGCACATTATCTTTTGTTCTACAGAAGTTTCAAATATCTATGCAGTCAGATTCATTAGTCATTTTCTTTATGGCTTCGGTGTACGTGCAACTTCTAAATGACAATTTTTCCAGATTCTACCTAGTAAAGTTAACCAAAAAAATCTTGGGTTTGATTTCAGCCTATGCTGTGTCCTTCAAGGTAACCCCATCCTTGCAATGTGGATGCTCCAAGGACAATAAGTGATGAACTATGAGGCTTATGATAGATCAAAAGGCTTTTGCCTCACACGTCTCCTCAGAATGGACAGATCTGGGAATCAGAATCCCTCTTACAGCCTGAGACTGATCCCAGATATCCAACAGATGGGGACATGGCCCAGAGATTACATTCCTAATAGAATCAGTCACACTTTTCCTTTACTCAAGTAGCAGATGGTCAACTTAATTAAATGCAATATAATCCACGCTATTTGGAGATTTTATTGTAGAGTTTTTTCTCTTTTTTTGTATTCAAGAAGGAGAGAAGACTTTTAAAAAAATCAGTCTAGGGGCCTGGTCCCGTGGCCGAGTGGTTAAGTTCGCGCGCTCCGCTGCAGGCGGCCCAGGGTTTCGTTGGTTCGAATCCTGGGCGCGGACATGGCACTGCTCATCAAACCACGCTGAGGCAGCGTCCCACATGCCACAACTAGAAGGACCCACAACAAAGAATATACAACTATGTACCGGGGGGCTTTGGGGAGAAAAAGGAAAAAAATAAAATCTTTAAAAAAAAAATCAGTCTAGTTATTAATATTTTATATTTAATTTCATTTCTTGCAGGCAGCTTCAAAAGATGGTCCACGATATTAAGAACAATGAAGGTGGAATAATGAACAAAATCAAAAAGTAAGTTAGACTCCATAGCACTGTGTGAACACTTATTTGTGTAAGTAACATCTTATATCACCTGTGCTAAGTGGAAGAAAACAAAATTCTGTGTGTTCTGAGTAAGGAGTTGCAACCTCTTTAGCATGTAACCCTTTCCTCGTCCATGGTGGTCAGATCCACATTCAGGAAACACGGTGAGTAGATGGGATGGGGCTCAGGTGGTACTTTGCTCTTCCCTCTCACTGCAGGAAAGGTGAGCTATGCCAGTCAAGGTGCCCAGCAAACATCAAAAAAGATGTTTATAGAAGCAGGACAATCCGCTTCTCTAACCATTTAGCTGAGGGCCTCTAGGACATGCCTGGAGGAATCCAAAAGAGAAGTTACAAGGACACAGTCCTAGCTGCTTTAGGATACCTGACCTATTTTCCATATTTTGATTTCTGCTTTTTGATTATTGCCTTAAAATGGTGTTTCAATTGGCACTTGGAGAGGGAAAGCTAGAATTCCAAATCTTCCTGCACACCAAAGACTCTTAAGCTTTTTTTTTTGAGAATAGAAACTGTACATACTTGCATTTGTCACTCAAAATCCAAATCAAGAGCAAAGAGGAAATGATATTGTGTTAAGTTTTAAGTTATTTTAATGAAAGTAATACAGATGCACCAGGAAAAAAAAATCAAAGAGTTCAGAATTGTATAAAGACAAAATCTCCCACTTCCTCATATTTCCACCTTAACCCACTCCCCAAAAACATACATTGATATGAGTGAGTTCAACCAGTTGTATATTGGTGGACATTTTTTTTTTTTTAAGATTTTATTGTTTTTCCTTTTTTTCTCCCCAAAGCCCCCCAGTACATAGTTTTATATTCTTAGTTGTGGGTCCTTCTATTTGTGGCAAGTGGGATGCCACCTCAGCGTGGCTCGATGAGTTGGGCCATGTCTGCGCCCAGGATTCCAACCGACGAAACACTGGGCCGCCTGCAGCAGAGCGCGCGAACTTGACCACTCGGCCACAGGGCTGGCCCCTATTGGTGGACATTTTGTAAACGAGGATGGGAATTTAAGCTGGTACAACATTTTTGGAGGGCAATTTGATAATATCAATCAAAATTTTGTGGCCATCTCTCAGTTTAACTGTCACAAATAATACTTCAATAAATATCCTTTGCAGACTTTGAGTATACAAGAAAGCTAAATTCCTGAAATGAAATTTGTGGGTGGAAGGATTTGTGCCCTTGAAATTTTGTTGATATTACCAAATTGCTCTCCAAAAATTTTGTACCACCAATAGTGTTTAAATGTTCATTTCCCTGTGCTTTCAGAATAGAGTATCTTTATTCTTTTTGATCTTTGCGAAACTTTAAGAAATCACTTTTCGTGGTGTTTTTAGACTATAAAATGTAAACATCTCAATATGTAAAAGTGATCATCATAAAATAGTTTAAATGGTCTTCTGCCTGCGGGGCAGCGGCATCTCATAAAGGAGGAGAATTTGCCTTCATGTTCTATCTTATGACTGGGAGAGGTGTGTGATTATTTTCCTCTATTATTTCTGATACATCTAGAATTTCAGTGAAATGAGAGAACCCTGCTCATTGTTTAATCACCAGCAATTCTAGATTAATTATTCCACAGTTGCTAATTTTACAGTACGGTAGGTTTCTCAATAATATGAGCCTCTGTATAAAAAGTCTCTCTATTCTATGTTCAGTCATACTTACAGCAGCCATGTTCAGTCAAAATTTTGCAGACAGTTTCTCTTTCAATCTGCCGCTTGTACTTGACAAGCTACGTTTCTTCTCAGCTTGGAAGATATGGCTGCCATAGTCACTCCCCTGGGAGGGGTCAATGGCCTTTTGGTTCTAAGTGACCTGCAGTTAGCTCTCACTCTTAACCAGGCAACAGGTGCTATCTTGAAAGGAGGAAGCACAGCTGAGCACACTGGTTTCCTAACGCAAGACCGTGACAGAGTTGTCACTGGTCCATGGCCGAATGAGAAAATAAGGACCTTGAAGGGTTGGGGGTTGGCATGCAGCTTCCGGTTGCTAAATGAGGCCCAAACCTAACCTTTTATTCCTGGTCGGTGTTAGTGGCCAACAGTCCTTTCTTGAGTTTGTCCTTTATTCTGAGATGGTGATCTGCATACATTTTAAGGTATTAAAATACCCTTTCTTTTCTTTTATGAAATGATAGCAATAGTGGGTAGTAGTTGGTTTGTGTTTTTTGAAATTTTACCAGTCCATGAACAGACCCAGCAGCAGACCCAGTTTTGCTTTTGTTTTTCTTCCCTACAAGAGCCTAGGCAGCCTCTCCCTCCAGACCTCATCGCAGGGCTGATGAGAATATCTTCCCAGGATGCCCTGCTGGTTTGCTATGAGAATTGAATGAAATAATATGTATGAGAGCCTCCGAGGAAACAAAAGGCAGAATTTCTATGCAAATATAAATATTGTTATTTTTGAAACATTACAATTCTGATTTATAAGGCTTGTTTTTTGTAAATCGTGTTTGATTTACAGAATACACTGCCCCTTTAAAAGGGTGTGATGTTTTAGTAAATGAAGGCTACTGGATATGGGTTTCATTTATATATATTTAAAGTTTCATTAAGCTAATCATTTTTAAATAAAATGGGTAACCTATTATTAAGAATAACGATTTATTATAATCCTTACCCATTTCAAATAATGGAAGTCGAGATGTTGTCAGAACTCAAAAAAGCCTAACAATTGGGATACGTTTTTAAAACGTAATTTTCATTTTCTTTTTTTAATGAGTGGGGAAGGATTGTGAACATTCAGCACATTCCATATGAGCATAAAGATACTAAAGTAGTTTTGAGAGTGCTTGAAACTGTTCAGCTTCTAATTTAGCTAAATATCACAATCTGGAGGCACTCACTGCTCACTTACTTGGCATTTTTTTCGATGGTGCAAAAATAATTTCAGTCCAACCTACAACTTAAGGGCTTGTTATAGCTTTTTTTTCCCTGTTATTTAAAGTCTTTATTAAATTATTTATTAAAATAGAGTTCATCTTCTCTCACATTCCCATCAACCAATCAACATTTACCTTCCTCGACCCTCTGAACTCAGTGCTTACTAGTATCTGACCTCCCAGAGCCCTTTCGCCGCCTGACTTCCCCTTATCAAGTCACAGCCCACTGCCCTGGGGAGGTGGGGAGAGGTGGGAAACCTCTGATGCAGGCTTCACTAGGTTACAATACATTAAGTCTTTCCATGTGATGGGTTATGCTATTCGTTATCTAGGTGTTATCTCTAAATCTGCTTATATTATGGGCCTTCACAACAGTTGTCTTACCCACTGACCATTTGTCTGATGGTTGTTATCTACAGGCTGAAAGTCAAAGCACCTCCAAGTGTTCCTCAAAGGGATTATGCCTCAGGTAAGAGTATTTCTAAAATACTTTAACTCGACTAATTTAATGTTCATATTCACTTGTTGGAAAAGGAATTCTGTTCTACTCATCTAAAACAAAAGTACTTATCTTAGTCTTAAGAATGACCAAATCTATTAGGCATTTGACTATAGTGGGCATGTAGTACTCCTTCCATCCATCCATCCATCCATCTACTCATCTGTTTATCGAATATTTATTAAGCATCTCCCATGTGCCAGGCACATAGAAGATCTTAGAAACACAGTGCTAAACAAGATAGATATAGTCTCCATACTCACAGAATTTATAGTCTGGAAGGAAGATAGATGATGTTAAAAGCGATTATGATTCAGTGTGATGGGGAAGCACACAGTTCTGTGGAAGTTCATAGCATCAGTAGCTAATCTAATCTGAGATGGGGGATGTGGAGGAAGCGAAGAAGGGAAAGCTTCCTAAAGAACTGTTAAAATGAATACTTGAGGGTCAGTGAAGGGGGTGGTGTGTGGGAATAAATTATTGACGTCACATGGTTACTCAATCCTCTCTGAGTTTGGCCCTGCGACCCCATTCCAACCAGGATCAACTTTGTCAGAGGGAAAGGAGTTAGTTTTGAGATTGGGAGTGTTTATGGCAGTGGTGAGCAGTGTAAAAATTCCAACACACTTTCCTTTCCTGGAGCAGATACCTTGGGAGGATAGGTCTAAAATCTTTTTCTGTTGGCTTAAGTATAAAGATTTCCTGGACGTGGGCAGATCTGTACAGCCTTCAGTAAAAACCACAGGGCTACAGACCTCAACGAAGACTCTTCTCTACAGGGCTCAGCTACAACCAAATCACAAGCTTAGAGGATGATTACAATTTTATTTTATTTTTTCTGCCACTGATCAAGATAGCAATCAATCAGATAGTTTGGTTCCTCTTGGGCGCTAATGAGATCTCAGCACACTGAGAAATGCCGACCATCATACCAAGTCTGGTCACTGACCCACTGGACCACTTTCCAGAACTCACTAGTTCACAGAGTATTTATTGACCTCACCTTGCCAGTCGGTCAGCAAGTCTAGACAGTGGATCAGGGGATTCCTTTGCAGTTTAGAACTAAAAAGGAAAGAATCTGTTCTGGGCTTTAAAATCTACCTAATGCAAAGGCAAAGGAGCTGCTCAGTTAACAAACGAGAACAAATGCACCCTTCTCTCCAAGGTCTAAAAAAGAAAAGAAAACAAAGCAGACTAAATCTATTACGTAGCCAAACAGGTTTGATGGGAAAATTATGGAGTCTCAGGCTTAATAGGAGCCCCCAGAGGTCATGTAGTCTGACATCCAATCCAAAGCTTCAACCTACCCCACCACCGTGTACCCCACAACCGAGGCCCACTTTCTGCTTGGACACCTCCTGCGATGCCCTCCCAAGCCTGTCTGGTCCAGTCAGGGATGGACAGCCCTGGTGAGATACAGATGCAATACGTTTCCCTGTGGTTTCCTCAGTCTGTCCAGATGGCCACACAGTACAAGTTTCAAACATTAACAACAGTGGAAATAGAGTTGCAACGTCAAAGGATAGAATTACGTTAGGTCATTTGAGTGGTTTCTTCTCTAAAATAAACATCTCCAGATGCTTCAGCCACTCCACACATTCTTTGATTCATTCAACAAATATTACACGAGTGTGTCCTGTGTGTTACTCGCTGTGTTAGAGATGCAGTAAGGAACAAAATATAGGCCCTGGTCTTAGGGTACTTAATGACTAGAGGGGAGTCAGATAATAAACGAGAATGCAAACAGGTAAATACGAATTACCAAGCATGGTATTGGTAGGAAGGTAAGTGGCAGGTGCGGTAACAGGGCGTCACCGTGGGGTGGGAGAAGAAATTAGGTAGTCACGGAAAGTCTCCCTGAGGAGACAACGTTTAATTTGAGTCCTGGGGATGAGCAGGAACATTTGTCAGTTTGTAGATGAACCAGCATTGAGATTCTGAACACAAATATTAGGATCTCAGGGGCAATTCTTGTAAACCAAAGTAGACTGATAAATCTTATTTCAGGGTGGACATTTCTCTTGATGGTCCTCTCATACTCAGCTATCTCCTTGCCCAGTCCCTCACTTAGGCCCCTCCTTTCCCTCTATTTTTTACTTGGGTTAAAAGCAGGTAGCATTCATCATTTATTTATCCTTTTGCCTAACCCATACACACTGGGGATCTCCCTGATTCCTCCTCTTCCCTCATCCTCTACAAAAAAAATTAATCTCTAAATCCTACCGAGTCTATCTCTTTAAGTGTCTCTCAAATATTTTTGCCCCTCTCTATTCACATAGCTACGGCTCAGGTCCTCAATCTCTCTTGCTTGTTCTGGTACAGAAGCCGCTAAGAAGTCTCCTTAATTCCTAATCCATATGGTCCTCTCAACCTCCACCAGAGAATTGTTCTGAAATACCTTTGCTTAAATATTTTTATGGCTCTACATCACCAACAAGAAAAATTGCAAACCACTGAGCCCACATACAAAGTCCTTCCAATCTAGCTGCTAACTGGGTGCGTAACCTTGGACAGTTCTCTCTCCTCTCCTTATTCATGTCGTGCAGGGACTGAACTAGAAGATCTGCCAGGTTCCCACCACTGCTAATACTCTACCCTCCCGCAGAAACACAGATCTTTGGAGCCAGGGCCCAGCGATGAAATGGGCCTCTCCTCACCTTCCCTGGCTTTAGGAAGTTGCATCTTCCAATCTCCCTGATGCTCAGAAGTGACCCATTTCTGAACTTCAGACACCTACTCTCTTCCCTGAAACCCCCCAAATAGTCTTGATATTAGTACATTTGTACTTAATCTCTCTTGGAATCAGAAACATGGCCCAGCTGAGTCTTCTAAGCCTTAGTTACTCAAAGTGTGATCCCTAGCTTGGCAGCATCAGTATCATCTGGGAGCTTGTTAGAAATGCAGAATCGGTGGCCAGTCCCATGGCCGAGTGGTTAAGTTCACATGCTCCACTTCGGCGGCCCAGGGTTTCGCTGGTTCAGATCCTGAGTGCAGACATGGCACGGCTCATCAGGCCCATGCTGAGGCGGCATCCCACATGCCACAACCAGAAGGACCTGCAACTATTAACATACAACTATGCACTGAGGGCATTATGGGGAGAAGAAGAAGAAGAAGAAAAAAAAAAGATTAGCAACAGATATTAGCTCAGGTGCCAATCTTTAAAAAAGAAAAAAGTATACCAGCACTGATAAATTGTCATTAAAAAAAAAAGAAAAGAAAAGAAATGCAGAATTGTTGCCCAACCCTAGAAGTACTGGATCAGAATTTGCATTTTAACAAGAACTCTAGGGGATTTGAGCCCTGCTGTAAACCACCAACTCTGTCCTTATTGCTTCTCCTGAACTGAAAGACAAATCCATTGAAGTTCCAGGATCTTAGAAATTCACCCATTGCTTCACCAGACCAATAGGCCGCACCTAGTCTCCCTGCTCTTACACTCAACCTCCAGAAAAGGTCCTTTTGGCAAAACCACCATCACCACCTGCAGCTAGTACCTTCCTTGCCATCCCCCCACCAACTCATGTCCCAGGAGCATTTCTATCTCCTTCCCCTGAGCCTTGGGGTCCCTGCACAGCTGCAAGCCCAGGGCCTCAGAAACCAGCCTGACAGTTCCTCCTAAACCCACAGAGTCTTCCAGAACCTCAGAGGCCCCAGTGCTGGGAGACTTTAGCCCACCAGACCTCCTGACACTGGGAGGCCAGACAAGTGCTCCCTGGAGGCCAGTGCAAATTTGGTCTCCCCAAGGCTCCTGAAGCAGCGCCCCCTTTTCCTCCGGTTGCTGAAATTATATCCTCTTTCCAGTCCCAGAAGCAAATGGCTTCCCCAAACTCTAAGCTGGTAGAGTGCGTTGATCTTGCTGATGCTGACCTTCAGAAAGCAGTGGATGGAAAGGGCCAGCGCCCCCCAGAGGTCAGCAGAAGAGCCACCACAGTCCCTCCTTCATTTAGAGTGTAGAGGACAAAGTTTGAATTATATGAAGAACGGAGCTACAGATGCAGATCAGGCCAGTGTGGAGCCTGCTGCTTTCAGTTCAGACCACACGTCCCTACTTTGTCTCTGAGGAAGGACCACTGCCTGCAGGGACCTCACGGTCCACTGAGCAGAGTGCATGACCCCCACACCAGCTGTTGCTGTGGAAAGGGAAGATATCTAAACTGTGTTGGGTATTTACTCTGCTCTGGGCATTATGCTAAGCTCATTTAATCTCCTATTAGCACCATTGTATGGAAACGACTATCTCAGTTTTGCAGATGAGGAAAATGAATCTCAGGAACACTAAGTAACCTGTCCAGGGTTACTGCAGCCACTAAAAGGAAGGCTCCCACTCCACTATTCTTCTCTTTGACCCAAGCTGAGATGGATACACTTTTCTTGGGCATTTCTTATTATTCTGAAGGCCCCACAGCCTCTGACATTAACACCAGAACTTGCTTACTGAGCTTTCAGGGTGAACAGCTTCCTGTATCATTGAAGCCTGAGTCTGGCTTGGAAGGGACGGTAGGGGAGATCAGTTGTGGTGTCCCCAGAGTCTGTTGGGGTCATTTCAGAAGCTCCACTGCTCACTCCACAAGCACCTGAGAGTCAGAACTGAGCAAGGCCTCTCTCCTTATACCTTTGGGCCCTGATATCCAGGGGCTGTTGTGATGTCCCCAGAAGGTCCACCTTCTCCGCCCACCATGATGTCATGCAGAGAGGAGATCAAAGCAATAATAAAGGGGGAGAGGCGGCAAAGGAAGGTAGCTGGACAGGGATTCTTGGGTAAATGTCCACCACAGAAACACAGGGTATGCATAACAACCTTTCTCCACTGAGGAAGTGAAATATAACACTGCTTTTGCCCCTGCCCTGGTGTCCTTAGTGAAGCCAGCATTCACTTCATTTTCTGTCTCGCATTTACACCCTAACTGGTGGTACCAGCAAAGCTGCCATGGGGAGAGCTATATTCGACATGAGTCCTGCCTCATGGA